TCACAGCCTTGGACTTTCCTCACATGTGGCCGACATACACACCCCCAAAAAAAACAGCCAAAGGAAACCCTCATCCTAATAATCAATGCACTCTGGATGCTGATTTGGGAAGGCAGTAGGAAGCTTCTTTGTTATTGTTTTCTTCTTCATTATTAATGTATTATTTCCCCTTTGTAGTGTGCATATATAGTTCGGCCTTATGGCCATTGTAAGCAGCATATTTTAATTCAAAAACCTTGTTTACTCTTTTGAGTATTCTTTTAAAATAGTGTGATGCTATTTTAGCCAAATTCCTAATTCTATATCTTAAGAGTGGTTCTCTTAAGTGTGAGTTTTAGGTTCTAGATATTTAATTAAGTGTGTCATATCTTGATTGAATTCTAGATTCAAACCCCAAGTTAAGATAAGAGTGTGTTATATCTCTTAACACCAACTTGGTTTATCCCTTCACTTTACCTCTGCCAATTTCATTTCTCACCATTTCTTCTTCTTGAACTTATTCTTTTCTTTCATCAAAAACCCAAAAAAACAACTCTTTGTTCCACCCCCATATTTCGTCCCCCTCATTTCCTCTTCACCATTCCATAATTCCATCTTCAAATAGCAACTTGATTATACCCCGGGTCTCGGGTATAACATTGAATTTGAATTTATATCAGAGTAATCTCACAGTTGAAGCTTTCATCCACCTGTTAAAGAGCTTGATGGAGCAATACATGGATAGGAAGAGTGACCTACGCATGGTGTTTATTGATTTTGAGAACACGTATGATAAACAAAATGATGATGTATCTAGAGAAGTTTTGGCATTGATTAGAATCTAGAGGCATGCCGGTTGCTTAGATTATGATGATTGAAGATATGTACGATGGAGCCAAGACCAAGGTTGTGGGTGGCAATTCAAGTTACTTGCCTTACTTGAGGTTGTCACTGCTCCATTTGGAGGATTACTAAATGTAATACAAAGTATTACATTATCTGATCTGCCTAATTAAAATTCCCTCTGTCCAAAAAACTTCTTCCCACTTTCTTTTCTGGGCTATCAATAAACTTTCTTCCCATTTCCTTATTCAGCAAAAAAACCTTTGTTAAATGACCAATTTACCCTTACCACTCAATCCCGTCCAAATGCCACAATCCTCATCGTTTCTTCAATTATTCCACCCCAATGCACAGCCTTGCTTCATATATCCTTCAATTCATGTTCCTCTTTGATTTCAAAAAACAAAAAAAAAACTCTTCTTCAACTTTTCCCACCCCAAAATTCTTTTCTCCTTCTTCTACTCCCCCCCCCACACAACCCCACTAAACTGGCCGTTTCTAAAGGTTGAAAGGTGTAGCGCTCTTTTATAACAAGGGTAAAAACTGAGAAGCCTAAATTGAGTAAATTCTATAACCAGTCTTTTATAACAAGAGTTTTTTATTTTTAGTCCTCTATTATCAAATATTACGGCCATGGTCCTTTTATGGGTAACTTTCCACGGATAGTTTTTTTTTTTACTTTTTGTCTTGTTGGTGTTAAATTGAAGGTTAAATGTGTAATTTCACAATGATCATACATCTTTCTTGTCATAGTAATGCCAGAGCTCCCTGCTCTCTACTCCAACCTTAGACTACAGATGTCATGAATGGCCGGAATCCTAGTCCACACCCATAGTCAATATTGCTCTATTGTCCGTCAAACCGACATCAGAGTACGTCACTGCACATAATGACGATGTGAAATTACATTTTTTGCCCTCGATTCAACACCAACATGACAAAAGCTCAAAATAGGATTGTCCATGGAAAAGTACCGATAAAAAAACCAAGAATGTAATATTTGATAATAAAGGACTAAAGATGGAAAACACCTTGTTATAAACGACCAATTATAGAATTTACTCATAAATTTCTATTAGAATGAAAACATCGTTGGGTCGGGCAAGGGTTAATGCAACTATAAGAAGGAAAGATGGAGGTGACACGCTGAGAACGGACTTTGTCACAAAGGTGAAGAGGACAAAAGTTGGAGGTGACGAGGAAACATGGACGGAGGTGACAAAGCTGTGAATAAAAAGTGATAGGAAAGTCAATGCAAATCTCGACTTTTCTTAACCTCTATGCCTTGTTAAAGCAGGAAGTATATTTATGGACGGAAGGAGCAATTAGGCATTTATCTATCCAAGTTGCACTCATAGGAAGAACTCTACGCAGCATGGTCTTGCCTAAATCTAATGCCTAATCCACATTTCAAAGCACTACGTCAAAAAAGCTAGAGAAAAAGTTTCATTTACTTTGTCATGTTTATCTACATGCCAAAAACAAAAAAAAAGCAAGGCAACGAACCTTTGAACTCCAAAACCCACAGGGAGAACAAATAAAGAAAAGACATCCCACTTTGTGATATGCATACTTGTTCAACAGAATGGCCTAAAAATCAATGGGTTGCGTTTTGCAGAGTAGAGAAATTATCTCCAAAGATTGCAAAATGTAGAATGGTTCTCTAGCCTTAATACTCTAGAAAATACAGAAACATCTAAAACTATGGTTTATAATTTTATTAAAACATGCCCATGAATCTAAGTGATTAAGATAAACAAGACAAAATGCAATTCAAAATTATAAAACTTCATCAAACAATCATATAACCCATGATAAGTTATATACCTGAACTGTTTTACCTAAGCCCATTTCATCAGCTAAGATCCCATTGAGATGATTATTATAAAGCGAAACTAGCCACCGCAACCCATTCATTTGATACCTAAAAGAAAATAGACAATTGAATACGAAGTGCTTGAAAAAATAATCAAACACTGTGCTTAGTAAAGTTTTTAACTCTTGTATTGTATGTTAGAATGTTACTCACTCTCTTAATTTCCCTTTCACAAGAGAAGCTGGCTGCTTTGTAATGTTCTCTTTAACACTGCAGAAAAGTATATGCAATCAGCAGGTATGCTAACAGAAGCTGAAAACATTCATTTATAAATGGGATAAAAAAATTTAACTACTTTCCAAGATTATAAAGACAATATTGGACATAGTAGTACAAGTTGAAGCTAATAAGTTATAAAACTAAAATCTGAAAATTTTTAAAGACCAGAATATGAAAGGTGAGAACCCAAGGTAATTACCTGTGTGCCATCAAATAATATTTCTCGTTGCTTTCCAAATAATGCTGCATAACACATTATATACAATGTTTACACAAGGAGTGATGTATTCAAAATAGATGACTAATGAGAAATAGCATTTGCACACGCGCTCACGTAGCACATGCAAGACGTATGAACAATAGAAGGGGAAACAAAAAGCCCAAAAGATACCTTAGCCTGATCGGTTTCATCTCCTTCATCAAAAGCAAATTCAACCTCCTCCACCACCTCGGTGTCCCCATTCTCACCCATATCACTATCAAATCTCCTGGCAGTTCCCTTAGCCTCTTTCAACTTTGTTCCAAGCTTTTGAAGATATTTTTCAGTCTCCTTCAGTAATTGTTTGACACGGTCTGATTTTGCATCCTATCAACATATTAGAAGCATATTAAAAAATCTACAATAACAGGAGAGTATCATTTACCAACCTTGTAATGCAAATGTTTAGTAATAACTGACAAGTAACAACATACCTGAACCATTCTAAGGTACCCTTCAACATCATTGATTTTTAGAAGATTTATCTTCTCGCGTTGGATCCTTTCAATCTTCTCACGATGTATCCTTTCCCTTCTTTTGTGAAACTCTTTGACATACCTATTGAAACCCCTCCCGCGTTCTTTCTTGGTTTTGAATACATCCTCCATTTTTTCCCTGGGTTCAAGATATTGATAAGGTTAAATTCAAAATAAGGTTTTGAAATGCAAAATTGGTATGTAAGGATAAAATATGCATGCTAAAATAATAAAAACTTAAAACATGCTTTTGCCTTATGATTCTAAGTTTTTAATGATAGGATATTGTGTCGTAAAGATAGGTCTACAAATGCCATGATTATGTGATATAAGCATATAAGATGGCTTCCATGATGTCATTAGGATAGCTTTTTAATCTGCACATCCAAGTACACTTCATCATTTATCAAGAAGAAATAGAAATATTATCTTTCATTAATTTCATGTGGTATCACAGCCATCAATTTTCTTTCCTGAATAGTATCATTTTCCATGATATAGTAACTTCACAACTAAACAATTTCATTTTGTTGTGGTGGGTCATGCTCATACCCAGTCTATCTCCTTGTCACGTCAAATAATCCAAAACCCAGAAACCTTAGCTATGTGTAGCCACACGCCTCCAATCCAATCAAAGTAAAAAAAAGCTATTTTCCTCTACAATGATCTAGACCTCTATTCATGACACCTGCAACCAACCATCTCATGACTCCTCTGCTCTCCACAGAGGCCACTCGTCATTTGCAAGTTTATCATTGTCCACATTGTCTAGTTGCTACTGAGATTTTTGATGTTACGCCAATCGAATCTGAACATAGCAATTGACTATCCCAAAATCTGAGCCCACGCGTGATGATTTTGCCTATTGTTCTACAAATATATATATATATATATATATATATATATATATATATATATATATATATCTGTGTGTGTGTGTGTATATGTATGTATGTATGTATATATGTATACACACACACACACACATAAATGTTCCACTTCTACTCACTGCCATCTCACATCTTTCTAATGTACACATACTTATTTCAACTCTTAACTATAATGTTACATCACAACTCTCTCATTTACAATCACCTCAACCTGTGTGAGGCACTTCCTCTTCCAGTGTGGATGAGATGTAGGCTAATTATTCTAGTGGCACATGCAAATTGGCAGCTCTTCACCCTGGTAAGTCAGTTGTTGGGTGTCAGTGGGGTCTATGCTCTGAGGTCTATGCTGTGAAGGTTGGTTGTCAACTCCTCATTGCAAAGGCTATCGTCTTAAAGCACATTAGGTGGGAAAGGTGTGTTACTCCTAGATTTATGTTCTTGGTTATACAGACACATTTTCACCTATGGCAAGGAAAATGTCCAAATGCAATGTGTCCTGATGTGTGCCCCATTGCATCTGTGGAGAGAGTCATAGTTGTTAAGGCGTCGCCATAACTATTTTAGACAGAAGAGTTGAGGGTGCACATTATTGCACCAAGACGGAAAATGTGTAACTTAGCCGGGACTTAATCCACTCCAAGCATACCTGTTGTCTATAACTTAGTGGCTACACATCTATCGTCATTTTCTTATACCTGCTCCACAATGATTGTGGACAGAAGAGTGAAGAAGTTGATCTACAGATGCCTCAGTTTTAATATAAGAACGAACAAACATCTTCCCCTTTTTTCATTTTTTCGAATTGTATTTCTTCCTTCACTTTGGCGTTGTTTCTTCTTTTCTTGGTTTTTTATTCTTGCTCCATTTCTTTTGTTTATTTTTTTTTAGTTTTTCTTCGTGTATTTAGTATATAAGCAAGGCTGCTAACTGCTACACAAGTGGAAGTACTTGTTATTTTAGTTTATTAAAGTTGGTTGTATTTGTATTAAACAATTGCAGTACTTATTAAACATTGTTATTTAACGTATTATTTGTGATTTTATTTATATGTTGTTTATTTATTAAAAGTTCTGAAACTTAAAGCTAAAACTTAATAGTTATTACAATGTTATTGTGTAATTATTGATTCTTTACACTTGAGTTTATGGTATTCTATTTGTGAACTTTACTGATTGTAATTGGCCTTTACAATCTAATTTATTGGTGCCTCACCGCCATGATAACATTGGCTTACACAATATCTGGTATTATGCCATGCTTGAACTCACACTTTCGTTAGTCTTATAACCTTCGTTGTTGTACATGCATTAAATCTGTCTTTAGTTTTTATGAATATAGAATAAACAATTTCCAGTGAAGTATATAATATAGAGTACTTATAATTCTTTTCAATGAATTTGAGCTTAAAAAGTGAGGCTTACACCCCATTGCGCACTGAAGCTTACACCATGCCCAGTCCCATAACCTGCATCAACCGTGCAATATGCAGTTTCGAGCATCTGGCAAGGATTGGATGTGTCTCATTGATTTTATACAAGGCTGCAAAAGACATTTGCCTTTGTTTCATTCGGATATCAAGAATGCCTTCCTCCATAAAGATCAATATGACTATTCAAAGAAGATTACATGGGGCAACCACTCGACTTTGTCCTTCAGGGGAAGAATAGCTTTAAACAATCTATGCGTGACTGACTTGAATGGACACATGATTTGGATGATTAATTACACTTGTACAAGGATCTGACATGCCTATAAGTAATGTTGAGCATTCTGTATTCTACCAGCATTCTACAACTAACAATCATAATGATCAAAAAAGTTATCCAACTAAAAGAAATATTGATGGGCAAATTTCAGACTGACAACTTGGGGAATCACTAAAACGAGCAATGCTTTTTGGGTATTAAAATAGATCAATCTAGTAAAGGCATTGTTCTCTCCAGAAGGAAATATGTATCATATATTCTTCATTAAAATACGTAGATAAGAAATGTAGGCAAGTGGATATACCTATTGATTAAACTCCTCCCAAATAGGGGAAGTCACTCCTACAATAAGGAGTAATAAATACGGCTCATTGGAAATATGAATTTTCTCAAAAGCATGATGCCTGACAGTTCAGTTACAGTAAGTGGGCTTAGTCAATCCATTGATTAATCTTGCAATGAATTGGGATGCTAGGTAGGGTAACGTCTGTGTACATCCGCCCTCTCCAGACCCCACTTGCAAGACCTACCTACTTGTTGATGTTCAAATGGGGATTGAGCTGTTATACGAGTTCTACGGCACACCAAGAAAACACCAAGCTGGGATTATTTTATGAAGACAAAAGCCATAGCAATTTTATGGGATAGTGGGATGCTGACTAGGTTGGTTGTCTGATGGATAGATGATCCACATCTGTGCATCGTATCGAGATTGGTGGGAACTTAATCTCTTGTAAGAGCAAGAAGCAAGGTGTTGTTGCAAGATCAAGTGAGGAAGCAGAACGTCAAGCAATGGATCTAGCTACTTGTGAAAACAACTCCCCCAAGAGTTCGGCTATGGGACAATGGTTTAAAAAATTAGCCAATAACAGTTTAAAGTTTAACCAACTCTAAAGAGGGCAAGACTCCAGATTCTTTTGTATAAAATCGAGGTTTAAGCCTCGGCACCTTTAAGCTTTGCACTTTGCTCAGCGGTTGCACCTCTGTAGCTCAGAAACATTAGGGATTTAGGGTATAAACATTATTTAGTTTACCAAGGCTTAAGCCATTTGGACATTTTCTTTGTGGCTCAGATGCATCGCGCGCCGTTTAAAACCATGATTGAAAAGGCAATAAACTTCATAGACTAAGAAAAAGAATGCAACTCTTGACAACATGAATTGCAAAAGAAATAGCTCATACCGTGATTGAAGCTAACAAAATGAATCTAAGGTTGAAAGAATTTGCAAGCATGACATGAAAAAACAAACCTATGAACTTCAACCTCGCTGAAAAATTCCTTCTGCCTCTCACGGATTCTCTTTTGACGTTCTTCCTTCATTCTCTGCTCATACCTTTCAAACTGCTTAGACTTTCTTCCTATTCTAGTTTTCTTGATTGACTTTAAGCGATCCATGTCTGCAGCTATTGGTTTGAAAAAGTCCTTCAAAATATCCCTGTTGGCATTTCATAAAAAGTCAAGAAAAAAGATTAACAAATAAAGCAATCTGCAAAATCAATATAAAGCCAATATGGCTAAAAGGATTGTGTTAAATAACCATTTATAGATACTCCCTCCGACCCAAAATATCTTTCCCATTTTGAGTTGTATGGAATGTAAGAATGAAATATTTTTGTTTTGACTTTCCTAAATAAACCTTGAAGTGATTGGTAGATTACTAGTGAATAGATATTATGTGATAGGTAGGGTAAGAATTAGCCGGGGTAAAAGTGATATTTTAGTAGAAAGTGGAAAGACTTTTTGGGAAGGCAAAAAATTAAAGAGGAAAATTTTTTTAGGGACGGAGGGAGTATATAATTCAATCAAAATTTTGGAAATGAATGTCACACTGAAGACAACACAATGCAAAGTTCAAATAGTAAAATAAGTGTTAAAAATAAATGTGCATGTCATTTAATACAGTGATCACATATGACAATCCAACAAATCTAACTCAACTTTATTATAATCCAACTATTTTTGCTCCATATTCAAAATACAAGGTGTCTATAATCGAAACGATAAGGATCTACTAATAATATAAGAGGTATATATAGAAAACTTAGCCCCTTGCACCATAGAATTAGGCGCTCAGCAATTAAAAATGCAAAGATTTTTAGTTGAAAAAAAGAACGATTGGCTGTTTGAGAGAAATATGTTTAAATTTGAGCAAGTTCCGAATTTCCAATTCCCAAATGAATAGCTAAAAGTAGAGGACGAGAATGATGTTGAAGCACTCGATATATGCTTGAGTTGTTTCTATTATAAACCAAATCATGCAGTTTCAGAGCTGAAGTGAAGTCAAGTTGGGTCTGAGATTCTTAAGCAAAAAATATCCTTAATCGATGTAACTTTTGTCTTTGACCGAAGGGGTATGCAAATCAAAAATTTGTCCCAACTCATCAATCCACATTTTTAAGGCCAAATCATGGTCAAACACAGCAATTCCAATTGTAATGTTCTACTTAGAAGTCATAACAAGGTGAAGGTCTATAAATTTATTTCATCTCATTGATGAAAATGGAGAAAACAATATTATCATTTAAAAACAGTTTTAGAGAGATCCATTACCTCCGCAGGCAACGTTGTAGCTCCAGCAATTGAAGTTTTTTCAATTCGATCACACTCTTTGTTTTAGTGGAAATATCTAAGGAGATCACACTTTCCTGAAAAGATCACATGTTCAAGAAGATATCAACATTAATTAGAGAGCCATAGACCTTCACCAATATAAGGCCATGTTCTTTTGGGTTGGATAAATGGAGTTTAACGTCTGAAGTAGTTGGAAGGAGTTCAATGTTGGAACTGACAATATTATAAATTAATCAATAATAAATAAAAATGATCGTTATAAAATTCAATATAATATTTCATTTTTTACACAATGTTTTAACAATGATAACTAATTGAACAATATAATACAAAAATAACTAATTCATATCTTTTGAACAAAATTATCTTGTGAGAGCTACACAACATCAAACAAAACTATACAGTATGGAAAGTCTGGACAAGAATAAGTTAAATTTGTTAGATATGAATAATATACATCATTTTGGAGGTAAATTAAAAATACTTATTATGTGGAAGTAAACATATTTACGTGACATTAGATGATAAACGTTGCAAAATAATCTAGTACAGGATACTTGGATTATTAAAATGATATGTAGCTAAAATTTTAGGTTCAATTAAAACTTATCTATTTAGAATCTATGTTTTTTGCGTATTGTGAATATCAAAATTTTTATTCTTCTATTTTGATAAATTCTCTTTTAAAGGAATTGTACCATTAGTTTCAATTTCTTTATTTGTTCTCTTACATTGATCATAAATTAATAATAGCAGTAATTTGTTTATGTGAAAAAAAAACTATATTGCCTTCTTTTTTGAAATTTTACTAAATTTAATTTTGAGAAAATATCAAACTAATCAATTCATCATTAAAAAAAATGTCATTGGCATATAAATAAAAATGAATGGATATAAAAACTTTGGTTAGAATATTGTTGATCACTTTTATTTCATATAACCCATTGATAAGAGTTGGAAGGAGTTGGAAGAAAGTGGTGTTGGAAAGAGTTGGAAGTTAAATTTCCAAGTTCCAACACAAAAGAACATGGCCTGAATATCGTATTGCACGTTAAACCACAAATCAAAATCACAAACATCACATTCTATAAGAACTAAAACGCTATCACACCAAATGTCTACAATTTTCAACTACAGTCTACAGAGCATAAATAAAAGTTAAAAATTATTCATAGAACACTTTGAACTGAAAAGTCAATCAATGAGTTCTTTATCATTTCCTCATTAAAAAACTCTATTTAAAATATAATCATCGTTTTTCTATAAACCATTAACTCTTCATCACATAATGATACTTCCTCCATTCCAAAATGATTTGTCTATAAATTCTAGTAGGCTTAGAACTAAGGGACCTTAGTTGTGGACTTATTGACCATCTCTAGATTTGTCCACTCTATATAGACTCTTTATTTGGTAAGTATTGTTCAAATTCCCAATATCTTAAAGTGTATATCATTTTGGCATAAGAATAGTTTGATCCATCTCACAATGAATCTTCACACTAGCCTGGGACTAACCCCAAAAAATCACCTTCATATCCTTATTAAGAATAGTCTACAAAACCCACAAGATCCCCCCCCCCAAACACACACGAATACCATCTTCATACTCCCAAAGTCCAACAAGAAAATGTGGGAATTCAAACAATCTGATAATTCAAANAAAACATTAACTACAGTTAGTTGTGTCTTGATGCAAGCTTCGTGTGGCACAATATTGGTTCAAACAAATGCACAACCACTTTTATTGCAAGAGAACATAGTACTTTATCATTGGTAGAGATACACAACCACTTAAACACACTATTCGTTGAGCCTAGTACTTCATGGGAATACATGAAAACTCTGTGAGTCCATGAAGGTCATGTTCTCTTCAACTTATTCTTATTACTTTTTTCTTTTTCTTATTGGAATAGATCAGATCAGATCATGAACAACTTAAAATATAACTACATTCATATCAAAACGTGTTTCAATTATATCAGAATCATTCAGATCAGGTGAAGAGAACATGGCCTAAGCATCCCAACATCGCATTAAAGAGCCATTTGCTTTATTCCATCAGAGATTATGGAAAGTGTTTGTATAGACACGCACACACAAATATGTGTGTGTGTGGGTAAGTGTAAGCAATAGAACACAATGTGTGTACTTGTGTGAGTTTAAATCACAAAGGAGGGGGAGAACGCACATTGTGAAGAAACGAAAGCCTAATAGATAATTTATACACCAAAGAGTCTATGAAACCTAAGAGTTGTTGTCGAAGGTGGATGTCTCTCAGATTTTTGACATGTGATTAATGTCTCAGTCGACGAGGATTCTCAATCCTGCGTGCCACCACAATTCAAGCACCCATTTGATCTGTACACGTCACTAAACTTTCCAATCTTATTAGCGATTTAAATCCTAAACTTCCACGGTTTGAAGTTACACCATCACTCCCAGGCCCCAACACCCATAACATCATGAGAGGATCAATGGAGGATAGCAAAAGAAGGTTCACATATGATAAAAATACAAGTACATCTCAGTCATGCTATAGTGACAGTGATACGGAGAGGTGAAGCTGATAAATAAAATTCAGGAATCTCACATAGATTTTTGGGGTGAGGTGTGTCAAAACTTATACAACTTTTGAGGTTTTGTCTCAAAACATAATGTAACTAGATAATAACCATGATAACACTACCGAAAACAACCCCAGTCCAAATTCAAGAACGCATAGAATTTTTTCTCATATTACAAGTGATACAATTGTGCCCATTGTGAAAACCTATTTTGGGTTGAAAAAGCATCTTTCAGAAGTTCTAAAAGCAGAATTAAGGTTTTCAAAGCGCATATTATATTGTACAACTGGTTCCGGTACAACTGGCAAATTGACGAACGAAGATTGGAGAGGAGTTTGAACGGGAATTGACGTCGCTCGAAGGATGGATGCAGTCTCGCCACCCGTCGCTGCTCGTGCTTGCCGGAGAGGATTCCGGCGCAGATGATGGAACACTGGTTCTTTTCCGGCGCTGCTCTAATTGTCGTTCAGGTTGGGTCATCTATGTAGAAGAAAGAATGCCTCTGTAGCGGGTTTTCAGTGAAGAGATAAGTCGGTGACCCATCAGCTTTGAAAGGAAATTTGTGCCTGCCGTATTAAAATTCTTCACCGTGAGATCCATGAAGGAGTCCGTGGCGACGGATCCGTCGTAGAGGCATTGCTGACGCCGGTGGAAGACATGGAATTGTAGATTTTTAAGAGGGCCGAGGGAGACACAATTCATGGACAACAATGATGGCGGAATGAAAACTACGTTGATTTAGAATGAACACTACATTGAGAAAGAACACTATTGTTTCAGAATGAACACTATGATATTCATAAATGAATATTATAATTGTAATGAACAAATGTGTGAAAATGGGCACTACATTGTTTCAGAATGAGTAATACGTTGATTCAAAATGAATACCCTTTTACTCAAAAATGAACACTTATGCTCTGTGCGAAAATGAGCACTATTTTACTCCAAAATGAGTATTACCTGGTTGTACGCCGGGTGTACAATATATGCATTCTTGTCAAAGAGGTCCAAATTTATACACTAATCACCAAAGTACACCGATAATAATTCAGATTATGAGTTGCAACATCATACCTTCAACTTTTCAGCACGGGCAGAAATTCTTTCTTCTGTCTTCTGATGTTTCAGAGCCCTTTTTTCTCCAGAAACAAGTTTCCTTTTCTGCTGATCCAGGATCCACTTTTCTAGAGTTGTATACCTTGGAGATGGTGGCCTGTCTGTGGATAAAAAACTATCTTCATCCTCGTCGCCCACTTCTGGAGCTGTTGATTCCATTTAAACTTTTAGTAATTGATTGGTGATAGAAAATACTCTGGAATACTCCTCTGATCCCATATATGAAGGTAAGAGTTCACTTTTTATTGTGAAATTAGGATTTTAAATCAAGGGTTGTTATGACATCATATTATTTACTTCATCCATCCCTTAATAAAGTTGAAAAAAGGTTTACAATGTTGGATTGAAGTTGTTTTCAATTTATCAAATACTGATGTAGATTTAAAAAACAAAACTAGATCAAAGGTTCAACTCAACAAGAGGTGACATGACTTTTTTTGGAAATATGCAAAGAGAGAAGACATAGTTTGACCATGGGAATAGTGAAAGTAAAGTTTATTTCAGGGAGGGTGGAGTATATTAGAACTTTTAAACTTAGTTTAGGTTAAGCAACATAGATCCAATACAAATGATAAATGTAAGTGTTTTGAAGTAGTCTAATTAGTTGAGTCACAACTTTTTAAGGAAAAGACAACTATCCCTTACAATATGGACAGGAGGGAGTACAATTGCACCATATATACATTATTTTATCTTAAAACTCAATGTGTGAAAAGTGTAAGATGAAAAAAGAGAAACCGAAATAAGGGCACCGAAAGATACAGTTAATGAACATTTTAATTTTAGCACAAACTGAAGGCTCGCTTAAATTATTTCCTGAAAGTCAATCCATTTTCCTTAAAAATGGGCGGTGAAGTAGTTATTACTATCTAGAAGTTTTACATAAATAACTGGAATGTTACAGTCAAAGTTTCGTATCTAACTGCTACACAATACCAAACAGTATAGTTTGAAATCCAACTGTTGCAAGGTGCAAAAGAAGAATCATTGTTGGTTGGCTCCCGCTCATATGGTCCTTAATACAAATAGGTCAAATATACTAGTTCACAGGTACTCCAAAATAGCAACAAACAAGACGATTAGAACACAACTACAAAGCATTCTCAGTTAGAACACATCTACAAAGCATTCACAATTTTAATCATGCAAATTGAAACAAAATTTCAAATTGAAATAAAGGCCTTACTTAGGATGAAAAAAATATGCATTGATCTAGTAAAAGACCAGGATCCTCACCTGGCAATACACATTTCACAGTGGTACTAGGATACTGACTATCCCCTATGGAGACAGATTTCCACTGTTGCCTTGCAGAGAAATTAGCCAAAGAATTGTCAGCTTGGCGAATCCCATGGGCATTGTAATCGATAGGCTTTTGAGATTGATGTGAGACATCATTAATTAGTGATCCTGGCTCATGAGGTACAGAAGGGGCATGTGCTGGCGCACTAGAAATCTCAGCTTGACCTGTTGGTCCGGTCCAATTATTCAATTCAGGCTTCATTAGCTTACTCGCATACAGAATAAGTGAAGCTTGGTTAGAGGTTCCAACTTGGGGAAAGTTTGCAAAAGAATCTTCAAGAACAGCTGCACCGAATGAATTTGATTCAGAATGTAATGATCTGGATACCTGTGATCCAGATCCTTCATGCACCGTAGATTCACCCTCTGGAACCATTCTCATCTTACTCAAATACCTCCTATCTTCTCCATGTTCAGATGAAAGTGAGAGCTGGTGACCTCTATCATCTGTCATGTGTTGGTTTTCGGCTTCCTTCGATAAGTTTGCTTCACTAGGACTTACCAATGATGATGGACCAGGAGTGAGTTTCTCAACCTCTCTGCCAGTTAAAAAAGGTCTACGTGCTTCTGAAGCACCGTTCTGTTCCCTTGCTTTTTGGTCAATCAGATCCCTTTGTGATCCATCTGCAGAGAAGCTTATTTATTGTCAACTAAAAGGACATCTGGAAGGAAATTGTCAACAGTATACTTACCTTCTTGAGGAGAGGGATTTCCTAGTGCAAATTCAAGATGATTCTTCTTTGGCATCATACCATTTCTGCAATTATGAAAGGCAGTGGAATATATAAGAGCTGGGACACAGAATTTCTGTAGTGATGCCTGAAATTATAAGTGAATACCATCACCTGAAAGCCAAAAACACAAGACACTGTGCTCTAAGCTGTTTTAAGTGATGCTCTTTAAATGGGTTTGCAACCAGTGACTTTCCTGTGTCTCTGATAGCCGCACTTCTGAGCATGTTTGTTTCCAAAGGATTGCTCTGCACTCCTCCCATTTAACACAAATATGAAGGAAATAAGAAAGCATTGGAAATGCTTTAGTACGAAATGGCAGCTTTCACTTCAAATAGAACAAAAAAAATTGTAGTCCCTTCCAAATAAAAAATGAAACATATGAGAGTTTCCTTATGAATTTTTCTGAGCATGGAGCAACAATTTCACATGAATCATCAATAAGAACATAACTGTCCCTTCTTAACCTTTTATTGAGCACATGTATCACGAAGACATCTCCTAGTGGCATAGCTAGTGAATGCTAACACAGATAGCTTGCATTATAGAGCAAACGAAACAGCAAACACAGTAATCTATCTTTGTCCAGAAACTTAAGGCTTGCTTAAAAATATAATGACAGTAAAGAGGATTATAAATTTAACTTCATTAAAAAATTACAAGCATGTATACAAAAGCTATGAAATACCTGATTGGTATTGTTCACATTTGCAAAAATACTTGCTCCTACTTCATGCTCTAATGGCCTTCCAGGTGCACATCTACCAGCAGAAGGGGGTGCAGGAAATGATTCAGAGCTTCTATCCTGATGCATCTTTGCCACCAGCCCATGGTTATCATATGAAGGACTACCAAATTCCAATGGGCTTGAAATTCCAGACTCTAGAGAATGCGATAATATAGGTGCATTGGGCACCACTCCATGCATGTTCACAGCTACAAAGTATAGAAGACCAGAAGCTATGTTACACATATACAGATTCACCCTGCGTACAAATGCTAAATCGACACGCCTTTTTTCACTAAAGACTGCAACACTCAAAGTCTCAAACTAAACAATGATGAGAGTTATCACAGCTTTAGAGCTAGTTATGGATAAAATTCCCTCTATCACAAAAGATTGAAAGAAGTTGTTCATCATTGCTTCATAAGAACCAATATATTGCCGAAATCTGATTTTGCGAATCATTCTTAGATAAAATTGTTTACAATTTAAACTAATGATTTTTGAGCCTAGTAGCACACTAGCATTGTTTTATGTTGTTTCTGAAAACATAATCTCATTCAAAAATGAACATAAACTTAAGCAAAAACTTAATTGAGTCTAATTGACCAGGAAAACATTGAACACTGAAAATAAAGGACAAAGTACAATCTTCATGCTGCACGAAGTATTTATTCTTTCTACTCCCAAAGTGTATATTACATAAGTTACATTACGGAGAAAAGAATATTACAATGCAACTTATTATCCAAACAACAACAACCAACCCAGTACAATCCCAACAAGTAGGGTTTGGGGGTGGGTGCATGCAGAACTTACCCCTACCTAGAAAGGTTAGAGAGGCTGCTCCAACCTACTATCCCATAACAATTTATGCACCCCCACCCAAACCTACATAATGAAGATAAAATGTTATATAAAATGAAGATATAAGTTGAATTTTTAAGACTGTTAATCTATATTTAGAGCTAAAAAAATACTTCTATACCAAATACCCTCTACCCAAAAAAACAATAATATCATCTTTTTTTTCTCTAGAAAAAATTGCAGAGAATCTGTTCATGAAATGTAATGAGTGAGTTATAGACATAAAAGGATGAAAGGAGAAAGTGTCCATATGGCAAAACTCAAATAAACTACATTCATTTTAGATCTATTTTAATCAGGAAATAGCTAAATCTAACCATTCCTGAGTAGACTGGATTGATTAATGATTTATTTTATGATCCTTTTATTAGCTTTTAGACTACCACTTGCTATAATGTAATGTTCATATTTAAACAAATAACAAAGACTTCCTAACACACTTGGTTAAAAAACATTTATCATACAACAATCACAAGCAAGGGAAAAATGTTTTCTCCATCCTCATTTTATACTCTAGTACTCCCTTCGTCCCAACATTATTTACACCGTTACTATTACGGTCTCTTGTAACTTTTTTTGTTTGCATGTTTTATTGATTATTTGATAAAATAAAATATTCTTGTCTCTTGTTTTGTAGAACTTTTGATGTAGTTTTAAATATGTAAGTTGTATTTTTAATTCTATACGAATTTGTAAATAAAATCAATAAAGTTACAAGATTTTGCACCTCATTCGAATTGTGTAAATCATTGTGGGACAATGGGAGTATGATGCAACGACTTGACACAAACTTCAAGAAAATAAGTGGTTGAGATTTAAAGTAGAAACAAATGGGAAAACATGAGCCACCCAATTCTGTTAAAAGGGAAATGAAATACTCCCTCCATCCTATATCTTCATGTATTCCTCTTTGGGCCATCCTATATCATTCTTCCCTGTTCCATAAATGGCTAATAATTTAGATGTGAAAGTCATATTTACCAAGTGGAAACCCTCAATGATGGCTACCTGCCTACCTATGCAGCATATTGCTATTATATTTGGAAGGCTAAAAATTGCAAAGTCCATGGAGATCAAGGGGTGAACCAACAGCAAATAATTTCACCCATTAAATTCCATGTTAGTACTTTTATAAGTTTGGAAGGCTAGCTAGGGTGGTTGTCTATTTATTTAGTTGTTCATGGGGTTCTTTCATTGTCTTGGTTGTAAACTCATATTGTTGGATGATTAATATAGTTTATATTTGGTTCAAATATATACATACATATGTACTCTGTGTGTATACACACACACACACACACACAGAGAGAGAGAGAGGTTGTTGTATATATAAACTATAAAGTATAATCTCACACCAGTTGAAGTGGTGAGAGATCGTGACACTAGTTCTATTGGGACACCAACAGTGCTCCGATCGTAAACTTGACGGTTCCTACCCCTCCCCCCAGCATTTTCAACCCCACCCTAGCACCCCTACCCCCTTACATCTACAAAATTGACTATGCCTACCCCCACTCCTTACATATATACGTACACACACATACATGCATATATACAAACACGCACACACATACACCAGGGTTCCCTTCAGATTGGGAACCAATGTCATGAGTTGACATTGGGCACTTGTGACGCTCTGTTGGGCCTTAAAGTGGCTCTTGCCCCCCTCCCCCAACTGCCCCCTTGCTAAAACACCGACACTAGAACACATACGTTTAATAAAAGAAAACATAACTTTTTATTGTCTCACACTGAAAATTCAATTTTTAGACATCTAAATTGGGGATTAATATGACAATTAGACTGAAAGGTAAAAAAATACATAAATAATACACAGTATATATAATGGAATAAAAGAGTAGGATTGTAGTAAAGCAAAAAAGTTGCGAACAGGGTCAATGAAACGTATGAGTCGTTTAAAAAATGAGTCGTATGTGATTCAATAGCGCGATCAGTGCATCTTTAACATGTGTTTCTCATTTCCATCGCTAACGATTAAATTGCACGAGCTGAAGCTGTTCCAATGTCGCGCTACGATCTCTACAATTCGCAGGTATTTCTAATCTTGTTCGTGATGTAAATCACAATCCCTTGGCTAATCTATTGAATCGCACGATTCTACGAATCAACTCACAAGTTTGACAACTTTGTTCTCTACCCCACCCTAAGTCTTCTATCTACTTCATTCGGGCCTATTGCATCTATGCTCTCTTGCACCCTCTTAAAATTCTGGAGAATAATAGGTAGAGTATCGAGTGAAGTTAACCACTTGCATATAAAGTCGGGATCTACAATGAACCCGAAAGCGTAAGCTTATGGGTAGGATTTCACCCTTCTATATATGCTACTGGTATTTATCTTTATTTTTCAATGTAGAAATTTTCAATGTGATAATTCCAACACACCCCTAAAGTGGTAATTAGCCTGATTTAGTTAGCCTTGGACAAGCGTGTCTAGCATCTCAATCTTTTTATAGCTAGCCCACACAACGGGCGGTAACACATCAATCTCTTATAGCCAACTCGACCCCAACCATGAACAATAACACATCAATCTCTTATAGCCAACTTGACCCCAACCATGAACAGGTAGCTCATATCCCTAAATCCACCTCCAAACAACCAGTAACAATCGAACCCAAACTGGACCTACTCCGTTACCATGTCAAAATTTTGATGGACCGAGAATAATGGATGGAGTATCGGGTAAATTTAACCACTTACATACAAAATCGAGAACCACAATTCACCCAAAAGCTTAAGCTTATGGGTAGGGCTTCACCCTTGTATATATGCAATATGCTAGTGGTTTTCTCTTTACTTTTCAATGTGGGAACCCCACTTCTTCATGTTTTCAGAGTTCTCTCTTCCTTGATCACATTATGTCCGGCCCCCATCTTCTCTCCTTATTTTGCCCTTGAAATTCATGATTTGCAATGGCAGTCAATGTGCAAAGTGATGGTGGTCAAACTATGTTGCGTACATTATTGACCTCAAGTCCCAACAATGTTGGGATTATACAAAGTTCATGTTGTTGTTCATGTTGAGAGACTTTTTTTCAACCTAACTACAACGACAAAACACTTATGGCTTTAGAAAAGTTGATCCACCTATCTCAAGTAAGTGAGCTTTACAAAGCCAATAGAAATGACAGCCATGTAGTGGTTGGTCATAATGAAAACATGATATTAGGTTGTCTCAAACTTGATGCCTGATTTTTAGCCTAAATTACTCCAAAATTGTACCCCCACCTTCCTCTCTATTAAATAATAAAACAAAAGGAAAAAGAAATGCAATAAAGATCAATTTTACAACACTGAATCTCTTTCTGCTTCTCACTTGCTAACATTTTGAAGCACATTTCAATGAAAACACTAAATCCTTCAATTATGCAAACAAGATCTAATCTCATGTGAGAATGGAACACCATTGTAATTCAACTAGGCTACCAATCTACCAATACAAACAATCGTGTAATTGGGCAGCTTGCACTCATCAGCAATTACTACATAAAATACTATTGTACATAGGGCTACTTTGCCATAATTTTATAAGCAATATAGCATAAAACTCATCAGGAAATATATTAATTACCAGTAACATTGGATGATGATTCTTGATAAATAGCATGGCCACTGCTAATTTGACCGCAAGGTGGCCTGCTAGAACCACAAGCATCTGGTGATAAAACAGCTTTAGAGTCCCTAGTGGTTTCAGCCCTTTGTGAAGAACCAAAGCCTGCAGTTTTCACTTGTAAGGAAACAACTCTTCTGCATTCCACTAAATGTGAACTTCCAATAGTTTCTTATCCATGATATCAACGATATCATATCATTAAAATTTCAGTATCTATACCAGCCACATGGGTTGGTGAGGAGTCTTCTGCCTGATTTCCAGTATTTGAAGGAAGTCGTGATGTCATTAATGCTTCAATATCAAGATTGTTTTGTTTGACAACAGTCTCCATAGCCCTTGTATACATAATTGATTTTATAAAAAAACATTAAAAAAAATGCATGTCAGAAAAACAATATAAAATAATTACACACAAAAAATGTGCAACTTTTATGACACAATGCTAAAGTGAAGTAATGTTTTTAGTTAGTTAGTTACTTAAATCAGAAATATGTATGTGCCCTACTAGACAAATAGACTTTAATTAAACTACTAGAGTAACATTTATTCTGAGTGAAACTTAAAAAAGGAGAGATGGTTAAGTAATACATGTTGCAAGTTCCAAAACGAAATAAAAAAATAACAAGAATTATGAAGTATATACTTGACCGCAACAAACTATATCACCACCTATATTAGGTTGGAGTATATCCACTGAAAACTTTATAAGACTCTATCATCAAGGATTGTATGGGGACCATGTATCATATAAGCACCCTCTAATAGATTTAAAGAAAATATTCCAGCATATTAATATGCAGATGGTGACATATAGTGTGGCCATAATAAGCTAAATTACTCCACATTTTAATTTCTCCCAAAAATCTTAACAGAGTGCACCTAAAAATAACAGTTCACGTAAAGCAGTCAAACATTGATTTACCTAGATATCACTTGATATGGCATTGAATTTTCCTTCCCACTTGATCTCATGTGTTGTAGAATCTGATATGGCCATAAATGATATCATGACTGCAAGCATATAGCAATAATTTCTAATGTATAGTACACAAAAGAAGTTTGAACCAACCACATAAAGTTTTGTGGCCAATTTTGTAGGCTCGTCAGTTGACTCCTGAATAAGCTTATGTAAAAACTTTGCAGCTTCCAGCTCAACATTCGGTGGATTTTCCATCTTGTTTTAATAAGACAGCCAGCCTGCATAAACTAAAATGCTAAAACAATGCTAAAAACGAAGAGGGTCCAGCAACAATACAGGTAGATAGCATAAAAAATTAAAATTCACATTTCACATAGACATATCACTCCAACTTTGATTGCCTATACAATAAAATGTAAAACTGCCACTTACAAACAAACAAAAATTGCATATGTACCAAGAAACGCACCATACTAAGGTGTTCGCTTATTTCTTTTGAGACTATTTTAGGTACAACTTGCCTAGTGTAAAGTATTTGAGGGAGCACTAAAAAACAAGAAGCCATGTGTTGAGTTTTTAACCAAGGTGCCATCTTAAAAGCTCATTCAGTTATTTTAAACAAAAGACATGCAAACAACTACAGTTCTAAACACTTAAAACACAAACAGTGATCCAAGCACTCAACCAAAATAATAAATAAATACCACATAACTGTCAAATAATAAGCACATTTTTTAAAACAAAGCATTTATTACAACTCAATTTCCTAAACACCCTACAACCTTGAGCCTATGTTTGGATAGAAGGGACAAATTTAATAAAGGAAGGGAAGGGAATGTATTATAGAGGAAAGGAAGAGAGAGGATGATATCCTGTTTGGATTGAATATTTCCACGCCTTCCTCTCAAAATAAGAAGCTAGGTTTCCTTCTTCAACAACACATCGCTGCATCGCGAGCTATGTTTTCTTCTTCGTCCTCAATGGCACAGCACTCCATTGCAGAAGCTAGGGATAGTCTCTTCTTCTTCTTCTTTAGAGACACATAGCGACGACCTTCTCACTTCCACCTCCTTTCTTCTATTTTTCTTGTTAACACCTTTCCACCTCCTTTTCTTTTCTTGTTAAAAAACTCAATGATTCTTTGTTTAAAATCTAGTGCTTTGTTGCGACAAAACATGTTATGCTTTGTGATGAGTTTTTTTAATCAAATTTCTGACCACAATTACAGATGAGTTTCAATTATCTTTGTTCCTTCCAAATGACTCCAATTTGGAAGGATGAGTTTTGAAGGAAATAGCGTGACTCCTCTCCTTGTTTCTCTACCCACGAGTTAACTTTCAAAACAAACATGACAAAAAATAAATACCCACCATCCATTACTCCTCCCATTCCCCTCAATCCAAACACACTACTTGCAACAAATCTATTGCTCCCTCATTTTGCATGAGAGTTGTTATTAATAATGTGAAACTATGGCCAAGATGTATACATGTAAACACTATGAATCACCAAATAAAAGGTTCAATGAATAAAAACATGTTCAATAATTAGGACAAACCAAAGAGAACATGCACAAAATGAGGTGAAGGAAGTACAATAGTACAATACTATCATTGAAACCCCAAAATTGGGATATTTTGTTTGTGCTCTAATTTTCAACTAAAAAACTTTCATTCAAGCCAAACCAAAATATTCAATTCCACCAAAAGAACAAGCACAAACTGAGGTGAAGCTTGAAGGAAGTACAATACTTTCATTTAAAACCCGAAATTGGGATATTTTGTTTGTGCTCTAATTTTCAACTAAAAAACTTTCATTCAAGCCAAACCAAAATATTTAACTCCACTAAGAAAATCATGCATCCATTCCAGGACTCATTGAGTAGCTATTTTTTTGTAAACTAAATCATCACTAACTTGTAATATAAATCATCACTAACGCCAATGGACATTTACTATAGTTAGAGCGTATGTTGAGATTTTGTCATATTCAACTATACCGAAAGGCAAAGATCAAGACATTTTCTAGATGATCGTTTCGTAATAAGTATAGAAAATAGTGGGGGAGAACAAGAAACATGATCAAAATTTTAAAAAGCAATTAACATACTTAAACTACAAATAAAAAGAAGAAAGAAATTGGAAAATCTGTTCAACGAGTTTTATCTACTTTTTTTATTTAGTGTTCCTTATTTTCACCATTTTGGTGTTTTGGGAAGAAATGGAGTGAATTGCAATTTTTAGAAAAGCTTATAAACATGTTGTTAAATAAACTAGTACAGTAAAAAAACATGGCTTGCTCGTGGAGTTAGTTTTTGTATATGAAAATTTATATACTTTTTCAAGAAAACGTTAGCGATTCAAACCATTTTTCCCACAACACCAAAAAAGTTAAAATCTGGCACACAAAATCAAAAGATAAAGATCATTGGGCAGACTTCCTAATTTATTTATTTCATTATCGATCTACCTCTAGCGCGTTAATTGTTTTCTAAATTGTGATCATGTAAACCTCTAATATCTCATCCATTGTTTTGTTTACTTACCCTAATACGTAAAGGTGAGGCAATCATCCATCAAATGCTTCAATCTTTTCCTTCAGGTATTACTGAATATGCCAAAATTTCAACAAACACAATAATTCACTAATTGTAGTAAATGTCTATTGGTGGTAGTGAAGGTTCAATTCCAACAAAATGAGCTACTCTAAGAATACAGGCTATTGCTCATTTGATGCAAGACTTTCTATTATTTTTAAATATCTGTTTGGCGTGAATGAACAATCCATAGTTGAAATTTTGAACAATAAAATGTCTAGCTTTGGGGTTTAAATTATTGTATTGTACACATGCCACCCCAACTTGTGTCTATTTTTCTTTTTGGAATGTACAGTGTATTTTACTTGTGTCCATTTATTGTATTGTTTACTGTACCATACCATGATATCAAAAAAGTTATCAAAGCTCACAAAATTCATCCGGATACAAAAAGGATCAAGAAACAAAATGCGGCAGTGTACTCTAAATGATAGCATGAACATATCTTATTATAACGAGTTGAGTAATTCAAAATACGTAGACTGATCTTTCCTCGCACCAAATGGTTAGTCACTTCAAATGGTCTTAAAATTCATTGCTTCAAATCCATAACTCTGTTCATCGGAACTTTTTTATACCATATGGTTAGCCGCTTGAAGTTCATAGACAGATTCTTTTTTCAGCCCAACATATTATGAGCGAAACAAAACTAAGAGAAAAGGGAATTGCAAGATTGTTTTAAAAGAAAAAAAGGAAACAGCCAATATTCAAAATAGAGCATACACGAAACTCATATTAACCAGAAAGTCAGAGAAGAAGAAGCCAAGGACACCATTTTATCATCCCTAAATCTGTACCCAATTCGAGCGTACCAGAGAAGAAGAATGGAGAGCTCAGAGCCTGAGAAGAGAAGAAGACTAAGCGCAGGCTCACGCTGTCACGCAGGCTGCAGAGCCAAAGGCCACGAATGGAATAACAAGAAGCATGTCGGAGTCGCTGAGGAGACTAGGGTTAATCTAGGTGCTGATAATCAAGGTTCTGATTTATCAGAAATGAGATGAAAAGTGAGGTAAAACTAAACGAGAAGTGAAAGGAAATGCGATGGTAGAAGGATAAAATACAGATTTGGAAATATCTTAATTGAATCAATGTATTGAACCTTGATGTCATGACCCGGGGCGCTCCGGTGCTCCGTTCGTAAAATTGACGGTTCCTACTCCCGATAAACCCCCCACCCGACCCCGGCCCGAACACACCCCCCACCTCCTTCAATTGCACCCCACAAGTTGATTTTGACTTTGGAGTCAAAATTTGACTCCAAAGTCAAAATCAACTTGTGGGGTGCAATTGAAGGAGGTGGGGGGTGTGTTCGGGCCGGGGCCGGGTGGGGAGTTTACCGGGGGTTATGGGGGTAGGAACCGTTAATTTTACGAACGGGACACCGGAGCGCTCCCGGGTCATCCTATGACATTAAAATTCAATGTCACTTGAACCTTCCTCATCTAGAACTTGTTTGTGATCTAACTTGGATAATTTCTGATTTATTTATATTTAAAATTATTTTTTATTTGATCAAGTCTAGTATGACATAAACTGATTCCAATAAAACTAGGTACGGAGTACTTAATACTCGTAATAAATAAAGTTGAAGGAAATGTGTTCTAAGGATCCATTCTCTTCGACTGATTTGATCTGATCCGAACTAATTTTTTAAAAGTCATCTGATCTAAATAAATCTGATTTGATCTAAATGATCTAATCCGAACCAATCTAATCTGAATAGATTTAATTCAAATTCAAATCATCCTATCCTATCCTATATCCTATATTCCTATATATATATATATATATATATATATATATATATATATATATATATATATATATATATATCCTTTATATATATAAATGAGACTCCAAGCTCTAAGGAGATGACATGTGGCATTGCTAGGAGCTAACATGTGGCATTACTAAGAGGTGACATGTGTCATTAGTTACTTTATGCAACCCAATTTATGAACATAATAAAAAAAAAGAAAATTATTTTTATGTCTAACACCTAATATCTCTTATAATTTTTCATATGGAAAATATAAATTAAAAGTTTGGTAAGAAATATTTGATTAAATATAAATATGGGGAAAAACTCCTTTTTATAATAATATTTTTTCTAAATTCTATATTTTTTTCTCTTTATTTATAACAAATTTTTAAAATAAAATATAAAATACTCTCTTCATCTATAAATAAATTTTATAACTATTTATTATACCTTTACTTGAAATTAGTTTTTTGATTAAATTTATTTAAATATTAACACCTAATAAAAAAATTGCTTTTTTCACCAATAAATAATTTTAATATTTATTTTGACAGCTAATAATGTAATATGCTACTTAATTAAAAATATAAAAAATGTGAAGTCAATATTTTGGTATGAAATCTTTCAATAAATTTAGGTATGCAAATGAAACATTCATTTTAATGATAAAATCCTTTCCCAATTCAAAATTGTTTTATTCTCTTCTTTTATAATAAAATTTTCAACCAATAGATAAGATGGTTTTTAACCTCTAAATCAATTTAATACAAGTTTTTGTTTATGATATGTTAAAACGAAGTTAGTTTTGATTTGATTCATTGAAATATTGATGTAAAATTTAAAAAACACAATATATTTTAAAATTTACATCAAAAGATATACTCCGTATATAATAAGAGATGATTAAACTATAATTATATTACAATAGAAAAAATACTGTGCGTAATTTCATAGTTTGATTATATTGATTTTATGATTTGACTTTATTTTATAAAATTTATAGTTTATAGTCCTTAGACTATGTATGATTTAAATTGAAAAATATACTATTCTTAGTCATCTCTTATGAATTATGATGTGATATTTTTAATTAAATTATAGTAAACAATTGATAAAAAAAGGAGTAATTTTGTACTCAAATAAAAAGAAAAATCACAGAAAAAACTATAAAATATTTTTGTAAATTTCTACTCAAAATCATAGAACCATTAATGTTTTTTTCTATTAATTTCTTTAAGATTAATATAGAATTGCTAATCTAAGATTTTATTTTTTGACTTAGGCCCTGTTCCGTTCAACTTATTTTTTCTTATTTTTTCTTATTCTTATTAAAATCAGATCAAACCAGATTAGATCAGATTAAATCAGATCGAATTAGATCAGATCCCATCAAGAATTATTATTATTATTATTATTATTATTAAAAATAAAAAAGAATAAACTGTAAAAACAAGTTAAATAGAAAAATGAGAAAGTGATCCTTAATTATTAGACACCAGAAAAATTATTTTTAAAATACATTGACAATGTCAATCTAATTGTACTTTTAAAATATATTTTTATTGCTATTTGTAATTTGAGTTCCTAAAGTTTTGATCTTTTATAAGGATGAGATTTTTAATAAAAATACAATCTCTTCTATATTATGATTATCTAAATTTAATTACTTTTTAATGTATATATAAATTAAATATTTATTCTATGTATATATGAAGTAATTATTAAAATGTTAAATTAGTATTCTAATTTCACAAAAAAATAATCATAAAATAAAAAATTTTATTACATTATAATATGCATGATTATTCTAATATATGAATTAACTAATTTTATATTATTAAAAAATAATTATAAAATACAAAATATTGATTATATTATAATATGAATTATCATTACAATTTCCAAACGTTATTATAAAGTCAAATCAAATTATTGATTTGAATTTTAAATCAAATCATAATTAATCAGATTAGACCAGATCAGATCCAATCAGATGAGATGAGATCCAATCATATCAAACCAGATCAGATCAGATCCAATTAGATCAGATTAGATCAGATCAGATCTAATTAGATCAGATCAGACCAGATCAGATCAGAACTACAAAAAATCAGATCAGATCAGAAAAAATAAGTTGAATGGAACGGAGCCTTATGCAGGGAGAGAAGAATCATTTCGATATTTTTTAATTAAGGCGAGAGAGGAAAATCATGATAATACGTGAGAGATGAATAATATTTATTTTGCTATTCAAAATTAAAGTAGTGACAAAGGATAAAAGAATCATATTCTTTGAATCATAACTAATGCAAGGTGAATAATAATAATAGAATCACCAATATATTTTTTAATTAAATTGTGGAAAGAAAAATAATATTTTTTAAATCAATATGCGGAAGGAAAATAATATTAATGCGGGGAGATGAATCAATTTTATTCGATAATCTAAACTAATATGGAGAGAATCAATTTTTTGCCCATAATGATGGTTGTATAATGGCTACATCTAAATTGATGTGGATGCTTTAACGGGGTTGGCTGATAGAGTGTCGGAGTTCATTTTATTGCTTTAAATTATCAAGGGACTTTAATGGTAGATGATGTTTCAGACCTAGAGAAGTGAAGATAATTTATGTAAATGAGGCTTGAACCTTTATCAAGGACAAAGATAGCTCAAAAAAAGGACAAAGATTGGAGGCATATCTTTGTGGACGGAAATAGATTGCAACCAAATGGTTGTTGCTCTTAATAATTTCACCAATATTATGATTTAGTGAGTGAGAGTAAAAGTCGGGTTGGAGGTATTAGTTTTAGATGTTTTTGGTAATCTTTTATAACATCACCCAAAAATGTTATATACCTTAAATTTTCAAAATGTTCTAATTTAAATAAGAGTGTGACATGTTAATTTTTAAATATATATATTATCATTTTCATTATAAAATATTATATTTCCTCTGTTGCACAAAACTTTTCTCCTTTCTTTTTTTCATCCGTCACAAAAAAATCTTTCTCATTACTATAAAAAACTCTCTTTACCCTTACCAATTCTTAACCTGTCTATCACATAATATTTTTTCACTATTAATCTACCAATCACATCTTACTTTTTGTTAGTCATTTAGTTGAGTTCCTAACCATCCAAGCTAGGGTACTTTTTGTTACAATTTCACTTAACCTTTTATAATATTTCATAATTAAAAAAGGATTGTTATGGTGTGATAAAATTAATTATGTTATAAAATCAAATTTGTGAAAGATAGATATAGTATTGTCCGAAATAAAATTTTTAAAGGAAAACAATTGTATAAAATATAATTTTATGATAAAAATTATTATGATGTAGCAAAACAATTAGTGAAAATATAAAATTGGTATTATCACTTACCATTTCAAGACTAGCATTTTTTATGAATCAAATATTTAACTGAGTGCATACACAAAAAACAAAATTTTGATAATGATATATTTTCGTTTAAAAGTATTCTTATAGAAAAAGATCAAATATGTTTATAATTGATCCTTTATTTATAAAATTGATATTTTAATCTCTAAGAAGTTGAGATGTGATGTTGTTTACGAAACATTTCTGACACGTAAAATATATTATAGAAAGTAAGAAGTTAATACTATGGTATGAAGTCATTCGGTACAATTAATTATGGAAGAGAATATAGATATTTGTTTTAATAATAAATTATTTCCTAATTATGCATATTTTTCTATTCAATTATTACGAAACTTCTAAAGGTGTGTTTGGTGAGCAAAAAAATATGAGTTTTTATATCTCTAGATATCCTAATCCTTTTCTGGTGTTTGGTGAAGCCAAAAGAGTTATCAAATTTAATATCTTCGGATATCATATATCTTTAAAATGGATGGTCTCAATATCTCCCTAATTTGGGAGATATCAATATGGGGGTTTGATATCTCTCTCAACAGTTGATCATTCTTCGCCACTTGCTACCATTGTCACTTCCAACCACTCCCGTTGCCAGTCACCCTTGCTTATCGCTAATTAAATCTTGAATTTAAATCTCTCCAAATAAAATCTTTTCAGATTACAAAGGCCATATCATTTTCTAAGTTTTCATAACCCACATCCTATAATATCTCCAAAATTCACTAAATTGGCCCTAAGTAATTAATAAGATATTTATTCACTTCTAAATAAATTTCATA